ATTGTTGGAAGCACACCTTTTGTGCGGAACGCGGGCAGCGCAAACAAACACGTAGGACGTACACAGTCACGGGGCACAACGATCCGGTGCACCTCCACGTATACGATACGTAGTACAGTAGTGGTACGATGCACGGGAGGCGCTGTTAATATAGTTGTGTGTACGGTTCTCGGCAGGCAGCTGCCGTTTGACAATGCATCCTGCGTCCCCAGATATAATAATATACTCGTCCGGGTACGGGGTCACTTCATCAAAACGACTGGGATGCGGCATTGCATTGGGGTGCCTCTCAGTGGTACGTCACGTCCTGCTACACTCCCGTGACTTTAACCTAACCCAGCCTATATAGGCTACCTGGAGTTAAACTACGTATAGCGCATAGATTTATATACGGTATGTCGAGGAGGGGAGAATTCCAGCAGTCACTGTGCAGACTTTTTTTTTTAACAATGCAGACACATTTCTCCACGTCAGCGATCTGGATCGACAAATATTTGATACTAAAAGTATAGGAATTTTATAAGGACGCTGAGGCTACCTGTAGGTCTGTTGATCTTGATTTATGTTTAGATTATTGAATTGGTTTATCGAGTTCAGTTAGATTATATATTTATCATATCAGGGTTAGATGGTATTCATGCACTGCAGATACGTATACTTCTAGTTCACATCGTCTCCGTTATTATAGATGGCAGCACTGTGAACTTTCTAAGATATAGTAATGGAATATCAGAATCTGCCGCTTACAGGTATCGTGCGATTCCGCAAAGCATACAATGGCTGTATTGAGTGAGGATAGTAGTAGGTATTGTATCTACGATTCAACGTAACAGAACGACTCCCTGACGTGGGTTTAGAGAATCGGGACGGACGTTCCCGTAGCCAAGTGTAGCATTAGACACGAGGGAGCATCTGCTATGCTTTCGTTGTAATCCTCGAAAGCCCTCAAATCCTCCACAATCCTCGCATAGCTTTGTATAATGGGGTGTAATAACTTCAACGTCCGTATTAGCGCTGAAAATCTACCGCATACCGTCGGTAGCCCTAACGCTTAACCTTTAACCTTTAAGTCAGTGGAACGTCGGCACAAGTTCCAGAAAAGAAATAAGACGAAAACAACAAATTTTTATATCAAATTTTAGAATTTTCTTAAGAAATTTTGAAAAATTCCAAAACCACATTTTACTGTTAATACTTTGGACTTTACCTCAAATCTCGTATGTATACGTAACTCCGAATCGAGTAGACTAATTTCTAGGTACGAAGTTCGATCAAGGTGGAAAATTAAAGTTCGCACGGGAACGTTAGTAGTGAGTGGGTGGGCCGGTGGGCGGACGGTGAAGCTGGGGTGGGTTCGTGGACGCGGCGGCTGGGGGTTTAAGAGAGTGAGGCAGACGCGGAAGGGAACCCCGGGCGAAATGCGATAAAGTTAGCGTAGAGGTAATTTGAGTATAAAGTTTTATTCGCAATAATTTAGCCGGGGATAGAGGTGCTCTGGGAAGCGGGAGCGCGGGTCATATATTTGATGGGATACTTGGCATAAAGTCGCGCATAAAAGTAATGCCAACATTAAAGTTTGTGGTTCCAGACCAGAGCGCAGTCGTCCTGTTCCACGCTGGGTTCATAGGTAGGTAGTACTGCCGTACGTGTTATAGGTATACGGAAGCTGCGTACGTACCTACCTATGTGCATTACATACCCATGCGAAACTACATCCCTTCGCAACCCCTTCATCCTTGTTCTTAGAACGACTTGCGTCTTATTCGCCTAGAGAGATGCATCGCGTTGTCTTAAATTCTTAATCATTTACCGTACCACCTACTGTACCAAACAATTGTATATATAGTCACAGCATTGAAACGTCGCTGTTTATGTAAAGGAGGTAATGCCTCCTTTCTCGTGGTTAAATCTACACGTGCTCGTTGAGACGCTTCAGAGACTGTAATTACGGTTGAGCATTAATTCTTGTATTATCTCAAAACAGCTTGCCGCATCCTAAACGCGGTCCATATGCATGTGTTATATGCAATTTTCCACGTAATTTAATTGTCGCGTCAAGTGTCAATTTAGAATTTTATTCAAAATTGTCTCATACGATTCAACTCGACACAGCATCCGGATGCTGGACCGAGATTTCATCAGTATTCTAAGAACGTGTCCGAGAGGACAAGGACTCTTGGGTATTTGTAAGTTTCTTTTTAAGGGTTCTTTCTTTGATTGGGGTAGGTCGTGTTGAATTTATTATACATTCAATCTCGCGAGTATTACATGATTAAGTAAATTTCTTGATTACCTTCTGGCAGAGGATTCTTGGAGAAAGTGAAGAAAGTACACGGGGTGTTGCTCTCAGCCAGCGTGACTTTCGGGTGGTAGGAGTGGCTAGACGCGGAAAGAGGGTTAGAACTGTAGGAACGAAAGGTAGAGGGGTGGCTTTCGGTTACGTAGCCGAGTAGTTTAGTTCTCGAGTGGCCGTTAGGGAACGATCTTAGGGCGCCAGGGGAGGCATAGCTTCTTCCCACGTGGCGCCTTGAATCGCTACCCCTATAATTCTGACTGGTCCGCTTGGTTCCACCATTGCCGCCATCGCGAACGCCAGGAAACTTCCCTTAGGTCTTGCAACGTGCCACGGTCTCGCTACGGTAGCGTTAACGTACGTATACGTGTGCATGTACCGCCCTTATAGTTGCAACCCTTGTTCGAGACGAACGCCCCCGTCGGTGATCTCGAGCTTGCAAATCTTCTCTAACGTCCAGCGGAATATTCAGTAACGTCATTCGCCATTCAGCATTCCTGGGCTTTCTCGCGACGCCACCCTTGTTCAGCACATTTGCATGGAACACGAGACTCTCGAGGGGCGGCGACTCGCGATTTATATCCTTTCAACCTTCACGTCACGGAATCCCTACGCTCGCCGCTTTTATCTCCCGCAATGTATTTATATACGTATATATTGGTACCTGCGCGTGAGCATAATGCGACGGGGAGGAACGATAAAAAAAGACGATACGTCGACCCGTCCCATCTGGAAGGCAGAAAAAAGCACCCTTGTACGTACCTATCCCCATACACCGTACGGCTTGAAGTTATGAGAGGTTAGTTCGCACGAAGCCGGCAAACCAGAGACACCGAATGATTAGATGGAGTATAAGGCTGAAAGGGTGGGAGTAAATGGGTGCCGAGGGGCGGCGGAGGGTGGGAAATTGGAGAATATTGTGGTTTCGGGAAAATGCTTCGGGTCCCTGTAATGCTATAAATACACACGCAGCACCATACAAGGACCGAGACGTTTCGCCATAAAAGGGCTGCCGGCAGCGTCGTAATCCCATTTTTGTTTTTACGTCGTTCGATAAAACTACCCCTTTTTACGAAAAAAAAAAAAAAAAGCACCGAACCCATCGCGGCTACGAGAATCCAAGGATCGCAATGGCCACCGAAAGTCTCGGCAAATCGATAAGTCAAAGGACAAAAGGCGCGAACGCATATGGAACGTGTTATCTCTCTTATTAAAGTATCCAAGATGTTAAGTACGGCGTGTACCACGCATTTGCTCACCGGCCCTTGTTTATTTGGCACTTGAGACCCCGCTTCCAAACCAGACCACGCCATCTGGGTACACCAACACCTACATCTGTTATACAAACAATCCACTCGAGTCGCATCGAACAATCAACCAGGATCATTATTACTTATTGAATGATCGCTAACGACAAGCCCGATACTCACGTGTCCTAAAGCTACGCAAGGTATTTCTAACGGGCTTTAATTAAATGAAATCTCATATCCCTAATGAGAAAACTATTAGTGTCCGAACGATCGGACTCCAGATAGCCCAGAGGGATAACGTTGTAATTGTACAAAAGAGCGAACGATCCCTTATCTAAATCTCGACATGGGAACTAGGCATAAGGGCTAGACAGACCGTAAAGGCCCAGGCGTGTCGACCGTCCAAGGATCGTAGGAAGCAACCGACCCCAGCCAACCAACAAGCTTGATAAGGATCGCGGCTAATTGTTGTGAATTGGTGAAGGTGGCGAACGAACGAACGAGGGAGGATCGTTCAACAGGTGTCATCTGATTGATCGCCGTCGCTCGCACCCCCGCGATTACCTAGCCCACCACAAACACATCGACTGCACGAACGAGCGACTTAATGCCGGCCCATTACCAGCTGGTTCATCCCCATAGGCACCTACCCTGTTTTAGCGATCATGTGGGCACGGATCCCTGGAATACGTCCTACGCGTAGGATCTTCGCTTTGAGGATGCTGTGCGCAGGAAGACCATACCCTTTACACGAACCACGGAAAGGATTTATTATCATTTTGATCGGGTTAATTTTTATCGATCGATTATTTATTTATTTATTGTGCGATCCGACGCAATAACGTGACGGCGGAACGTGTCGGACGATTACAGGCCGTAAATATTTGTTGGATAATTGATACCGACATCGTCCGATGGACCGGCTGGCCATCGAGAGCACTGGCACGATATATCACAGATAATAAGCGGCCAGGCCTGGACCGCTGGAAGCCTCCAAGCTTCGTTAGCCTCGTATGGCTCCTTGATACGATTATGATATGCGCCGTTCCGCATAGTCATCAGCAGTCATTCCTTTTCATTCCTCTTCATTGCCATGGCTGCCGCCGCAGGAACAATGCCTGCTCTCGTACACGCGTGCGTTACAGGATGATCTTGCACCAAGTCAACTCGGCTAATCGTAATTAATCATCATGTAACTCGTGACGGAACTGAACTCGGATCGTTACACGATATGAACTCTTAGAAATCGACCTCTGGGTTCTTGCCGTGGATGCGACTGTACGCTGCGAAATCATATGAGAAAATCTGTGCTATCAACGACTGAACTCGCTGCGACCTCAAGTTCTTTACTTGAAGATATTCTGTGATCCACGTGTACTTTCCTTTTTCAGTAATTGTACATTGTTTTACGCTATATCGCGGGGTTTCATATGGGTATTTTTTGTTATCCTTGACAGAATCGTAAGGAACAAGGCGGCGGAGAAGGCGAAACACGCGCATCAGCAACAACAGGCTCAGCAACAAGGTCAGCAACAGAGTCAGCCTGGATCTGGCGGTTCTGTCTCGGTGATAGCGCATGCACCTGCAACGGCCGCGGGTCATCCTGCTGCTGCTGCACCGAACGCTTACAGCATCAGTGGTATCCTTGGTATCCCGGCTCATCATCAGGATCCCAATGGCAACAGTATCAAACGAAAACGCACGGACGACGGTGAGTGAATTATTTTTTTTTTTTTGGAATTTTATTATATTTCTGTCAGTCCTGATATTACGGAGTGACAGGAAGCGCCTTTGCGGTACTCTTAATAATTCAATTTGTTCATTGACAATTAAACTCCGAAGTCTCCGTTAATCTTATAAGAATTAAGACGATCCAGTGAGCGACTGGCAGAGACCATTATTGTTCCATTCACTCAACTTTGAACCGTGACGAAACTTCGTTCGTCATGTTTAACATGAACGGAATAAAATGACGTTACTGTCGCGTTATCATGATCATTATTGAAAATTAGATCCTGACAATAGGCCGTGCTTTTCAAAGTGAAAATTATCAAGAAAACTTTGCCTATTGTCGTGACAGCGCCATCTACTTTTCTCCCTGTCAAACAGGTCGTAGGACTGACTCGTAAATGTTCCTTTAGTCCCATAGAAATACAAACAATTTTTTCATATAATTTACACGTGCATTCGCAATTCGACCGAGCAACACTCGGGCATTAGGCACTGGAACCAGGATAGCCGACACGAATTTATGCTTCACTAGGTTATCAGTCAAATGTCAAGAGACACGTGCTGCCATTCATTTCCCTGTCATTGCGTGAATAACGGGCTCTGAAATATTCTCGACACGTGCCGACTCACGTGTCCCACTCGTACGACGCCCGAGACGTCGTCCCAAGCTCCGGCACTCTAGACTTTGTTTTCCCGCGATTTCCCATAAAGAAAATATAAAATCCTACCCCCCCCCCGAACACTCTATACCGTAACTGGACTCCTCTGTCCAACCTGCGTACTCTCCGTCGTCCGATTTGTTAAGGATCAGCAAAGACCATGCCGAGTTCAGGAATTGGTCAAGCGTTGAAGTTTCGGGATAATCAATTGATCCAGACCCCGGGACCGATGACTTTCCTCATTAGACACAGTTAATTGATCTTAGGGGACTGTACCAATGACAGCAACGTAATATCATTTATCCCGTGGCTCACGTATTGGAAATTATTTTCTCTGCCAAGTTTAATCACACAGCGCACTATTACGTACTATGGTATAGCTAGAGATAAATTTATTATGGACCATCTCTGCTACCTACAGTTCATCTCTCTTGTACTATGCGTATATACCATAGGCAGCCTTTCTGCCAGCGTTGAGTCGTATGACGAGCAACGCTGAGGGTACATGGGTTATTTGATATAATTCGATTATGAGTACGCTGTGATATGCGGTCGCGAAGTGGTTTGGCCGCGGCAGAAGCACTCAATGTTTGCGGCCACCGAGGGCATATGTATTAGATTATAAACTTCACAGACCGCAAGCCCCGTTCTAGCTCGACCCAGCGACACATTAGCTTCCCTGCTCTCGGGGGACGCCGCAACGTTCATCTCTCTATTCCTCCTCCCCGTCCGTCTCCCCCCCGTGTCCTCCCTTTCCTCGCTACCGTCTCCCTTTGTGTCCACTCCACTCACTAGCGCTCGCGCGATCCTGGCTACGATACAGATTAAATGGGACTTTCATGAACGTGCATTGACGTCTGGACGTCATTTTTCAAAATGACTTTTCAAAATCCATTTTTTTTTTTTTTTTGAGTAGGCGGAATATCTAGGTGGCCATGTGATAAGTGTAACGGGGATCGTGGCTTTCTCGTGTTTGGGAGGCCGAATTCGTAAGGGGCTGCTTACGAAATAGCTCGTACGAACTCACGGTGGAATACAGGAACGCGGGTACGAACGGCGGAGACTTCTCGAGGGAAGTGCGGCAATCCATTGGGGCTGTTTGTTGTCGCGTTACATCTGCGCGCTTTTACCCCATGCAGATATATACTCCGAGCCCGTCCTGTAGTGTATCCCAAGTCCCACCCTATTTCAACTATGGGGTAGAAGACCAGATTCACCCCATGCTCCATTATTACCCGTGTATTGTATTGCTCAACATTGACTCAATTGCTTTCGAATAACGCATGGGAGCTGCCCTTTCAAGCATCAATCGAGTTATTCGATTTGCTGCTCTTTTTTTTTCGTGGGAGGGGAAGGGGGGGTACGTTAACTTCTTTCTGCCAGCTACGACTCTCCTTACGTTCTACGCGTATTAGATCTTGTTTGGTAACGCGAAAGAACGTCAAATTATAAATAGGCACTGTGTACGTACCATTTACAGAAACGAGTCTCATCGACGACTCTGGGATAACGTACTGAGCCATTTTTGGACTTTTGATCGTTGAAAATACGAAGAAAAAAAAAATATATATATAATTTCGAGTCTCGAACCTCCGCGTATACGTAGTACTTGACGGCGAATTATTTCGTGCGATTTAATCGTAAAACCCAAACGACATGGACAACGCGTAACGGCTCTGAACTCCCGAGCCTCGAAACGGACTTTATAGGTTTATAGCGAATCCTGGAACAACCCTGTGCCTGCTCGAATGGTCAGCCAGTCGGCCGAATGGACAATCACAACTTGACAGGGAGGTTTAACGAGCCCTATGCTAGCAGCAGCGGCAGCCCCCATCTCCCTTGGATGGTCATTTAATTATTCGAGATACTACCCCCGTGTGCGTCCAGCACACGGGCACCGCGCCCCTAACCGATCCTGGCATCAACCCTTCCTTCTTCAATACCTACCGCAGCGCCACACTCTGCTCCTATCTATAACTACATATTCTATACACTACAGTGTATTACACTAACTGCACTCTTCAAATCCTCCCCCTCTACGCCATTCCGACCAAGCCTCTGGCTTTCTATATTAAACCAGCAGGATGGACGCGAGATAATAAAGACATATAATGGAATCGAAATTGTTTCTCTATCTATCAATGCCATACAGGCATAGGAGCGTCTACGCGCGCCATGTTGCTAGTCGGCGGATTCAATTTAGCTCGGCTACGTTTCATTTGTGTCCTTATTCCCGGTAATACGAATCTGGATTATCTAGTCCAAGTCCACCAGAGTAACACGAAACGTGTAGATCGGTTCTGTATGTATATGGGGATGGACATTTTCATTTGGATATTTTCAAACTGTCAGCGCACGAAGTTCATCGTTACCGAACACGGCGACGAAACGACTCTGAAGACGTCACACGTTTTTAAGACTGGACCGTCGGTAAAAAAGGCAAAGCTACGTCGTCTGTCGTTGAATTGCCAATAATTAATCGATTTGAAATCATGTATAAAGACTCGTTGATTTTTACGTGACGTTTTAATTCTTTTACTTAATTCATCTTTTATTTACTATCTCGTCTTTCACGGTCACACTTTTCGTATCCGCTTTTCCACTCTGTCATCTTACAATAATTAATTGACGTGTTCCAGATGATAATCGCGATATGAGTGATCATCCCGAGGACGACTTGAAGAGACAAAGAAGCAATTACAACGGTGACCAGCTGTACTCGAATGTAAGTATCGATATACAAGTATACGATAACAGATGGGCATTGTATATAAAACAATGTAAAGAGATCCTTTATTGTCTTAACGAACGATTATCGAATTTTAGAATTGCCCAGAGGTTTCACAAATTTAAAAAGCATCTCTCGGAATCGATATCATCTCAAAGTCTTTTGAGGTGCTTCCAATGTTTGACTCAACGTTCGTTATGTCTTTGCAGTTATGGTCGAGTAAGTGGAGCATCAAGGATGAGCACAAGCTCCTGAGCGAGCTCGGTGGCGGCGGTGGCACCGGGAACGGTGGTGGAACCGGTGGCGGCGGCGGCGGAGGCTCCGGAGGTGGCGGACCTGGTGGCGGCGGTGGCGGTGGGTACTACGAACACGGGGGATTTCCCGGGAATGCTGTTGCCACCTCCGCCGAGCTCTACGACTCCCTGGGCACCATCAGCACGATGACGCAAGCGCAGACGCCACACCTCTACACCCCGCCCATAGGGGGCACCATAGGTGAGCGATTCTGCCAGTCTCTCTCTTTCCTTTACGCTCTCTCTCTCTCTCTCTCTCTCTTTCACTCTCTATCTCCCCCCCCCTCTCTCTCACTTTTTTTTATTTATCTCTATCTCTATTTTATCGTCATCCGGACTCCCTCGACCTCTTATACCTTTCGCTTAGTTACTCATTCAGTTCTCTCTCTCTCTCTCTCTCTTTCTCTCTCTCTCTCTCTCTCCCCCCCTTCATTTCTTCCTCTCCTAATGGTTGCTAGCTACCTAGCCACCTAGATGCTTAGCTGCATATCAACCCTTGTACGCTTATTATTGCGGCTTACATCTTGCTTTGCATACCCATATCAACTTTTGTAGATGGCTTTTAATAATGCATGAGTAGCGGCGTCGACGACTGCGACGATGACGACGACCACGAGACTCCTCGCACACTGCAGGTGGTAGAGGTGCGGCTTGGTGGTTGGGATTTCCAAGTTGAGGACGTTTAAAATTTCAACGCGGATTTAAATAATCTAGTTCAAATGAGATCTTCATTTCTATGCTTCTTCACTTTCTTTTTTATTTAGCGTTTCTTGTTGGTTAATATCTCCTTCTTTTTTTCCATGAACAATCTCTTTTTCTTCTCTCAAGTTTCTTCTTCATCCCTTGCCACTCTCTCGGATCTGTATAGATATATATATTTCTCGTTCTCTCTCTCTCTCTCTCCATCTCTTTTTCACCTTCTCTATGCGACCACGTAACGGCAGTTGATCAATGATGGAACATTTGTCAACAACGAACACTACGGAAATGAGTTCGCGCATGCAGAGATCGAGTCTGCTCAGGCCCATTCAGGTCCGACCGTTCGATTGGGACCGTAGGAGAAAAGTGAGCGGGGGCCCGTCCTGAGAATTTATGTGGCTTCGTCCACGTGTAGCTGGAGCCCGAATCGTCGGTCAGCCATGACGGGTTTAAAGACGCGATTGTTTCTAGCCCGTCGACTCGTTCGTCTTAATTCCTCTATTTTCTTTCGCCTACTGCAAAATATCTTAGCGAAACGTAACTCCTCGCGACGCCCTATAAAGTGTTTTACAAAAAGATGATGAGTTTGCGATTTATTTTTGTTTCTTAATCTTAGAACCGACCTATTCGTCGTCTCAGAACCAATCTTATGCAAAGCTGCGATTAATCATCTTCCGATCCTCTAATCGAGATTGTTCCACATTAATCGACCGACCGATCGGGGTCATCCGTGCATTTTTCACTGTCTAGTGTGTAATAACGAAAAAACTGGAAATCCTTAACAGCAGGTGGTACATTGACGCCGCTCGCGCCATTGACGATGCAAGAACTAAAATTGAGCCAAACGTTGGATGGGGCTAACATGTCTCCCTACCACACTACGGGTGAGTTCAGAGTTTAGCCACCTCGAAATTCTTTTTCTTACGACTGCCCGTCCGTTTACGTCCAAATGCTCGATATCGCCAATCTCCATATAAATTCATACACTCTGTTATCATTATTTTTGGATGCCTGTCATCTCATCTGCTAACGTTATACTTCCGTCAAATCAGCATCTTACCTGATCGTCGTACTTAACGCGGACCAGACCCATGATCTGATCCATATAAAAAAAAATATATGTTATCCATCGTTCCTTTGGAAATTCCAAAATGCCACAGCCTCGTAAAAATTGTTTTGAATTCGCGATGAAATTTCAAGATTTAATTTTGCCATGACGTAAGCGCTGATCGTTAGCTAGTGCTTGACTCGAATGTTGTGTTGTTGTTGTGCATGGCGTAGCAGAGGGCAGTACCGTCGCAGTATCCTACGTTGGGGTTGGAGCCGGCGGGGGCGAGCAGAGTCCTCCGATTTCGTTGCAAAACGAGGGAAACGCCACCCCCACGGCCTCCAACACCCCTGGAGGAGATCCTGGACTGACGGTCTTGCAGCCGCCGGTATCGCAGCCCCAGGTGGCGTCCGCGATACCACCGTACTCGACGATGCTACCAAGTTTTGGACACTACGCAACTGGTGAGTAGTACGGAGAAACTGCTTGCTTTTTAGTATTTAGAATTTTATTTCTTGTGCTCGTCATATGGTCAGTCCTACCTCTTGGAAGGACGATCGATCATCCTGCGATCGCGGATCGGCAGGCCTTGCCGAGCGGAAACGAAGGAAAGAAATTTGTCGCATGCATACCTATATCCAATTTACAGCTGGTTCAATATATTTGTCAGATTTTTTTTATTCGTTGATAATACCGATTTTGAAAATGTAATATTTTTTTTTTGTAATTAAATATCGATATTTTTTTTTTGTAGGTGGCGGCGATTACGCGTACAGTGCAGCGTATTCACAGTACTCCAGTGCACCTTACAGTGGTTACGGTTATGGAGCGGCGACAAGCGGGTTGCTCAGTAAGTAAACAGTGAGTATGAGTACCGATTAGATTAGGGGCCAGCGAGTATTTATTGTTAGTGTAATTAAGAATTATTCCGAGCACGACGATACGACTGGTTATGATCTACCGTTACTATGAAGTTATTATATAGTGTCACTGTTGGTAACGTTATACGTCCGTACGGATCGAATGATCCAGCCTGATCCTATACACGTGCTTCGTCACTAGACTTTTTCTTAGGCACGGAGATTCAAGTAGTAACAAACAGCTTTTATTTTCTCTTATTAACTGTATATTACATACGCGATACAATGACAACACGTTCCTTACGTCATCCGGTTTCACGCGATACTTCGGGATGCTGTATCTTCTGTCAGGACAGGATGCGATTGAATTTCGACCTACTTCTCCTTCGTACGACTGATTCTTTACATTTTTTTTTTCCGTCACCATGATTCGTCTTAGGAATGAGAATTTTTCAAAAATTACACACGGACCACTGACTTTTGGACTGTATATTCAGAACAGGTTGTGAGCACGGACAGACATGGATAGATATAGAAAAATAATAATAAAGGCAAAAGGAGAGTCTGTATTAATAGTTCTTTTCTCTTGTCTCCATCATAGACTCTACGTACTACTATTGCAACGGGGACACGCTGGCGTCTTCCCACAACAGTTCACAGCAGGGCGGATGTAATAACGGAGGTCCGGAGAGCAGCGCCGAAGTGGCCAGTCGTTCTCCATTGGCGGCCACCAGAGCAAGCAGCGGCGCGAGCGCGGCCTCGCCGACCGGAAGTGCCTGCACGAAACCGGATCACACCTCCACCCCGACGGACTTGTATCTAGCTTGATTTGCGGCAGAGGACGAAGGCGCGACACCTCGTAGTAGAAAGCGTCGTCGAAACGGGCGACGGGTCGACGTCCTCCCGGACGATCGTCATTAGCGAATGGACGCCATATCATGAAAACGCATTGAAATTAAGCACTGATCTCTTTGTTAGGTTGAGAGCCGAGCCGATAGCGTCTCCCGATCACGGAGAGCGGCCGGTGCCTCATATAAAGCATATGCGAGCGAATGCCGGCGTCCATCGGGTCGAGGATGGACGTCGACGTCCACGAGGACGGCCGTGGGATCTCTGGAAAGGTCCCAGTCGTCGCGACGACCTAGCTTGCCGTCCTCGCCGATACTCACCGACGCCCCCCTTAGGTAGTTTAATTTATGAATCCAACCCCTTTTTTGTTCCCCTCTGCTTCCTTCCCCGAATCGTCCCTTGATTCCTTCAAGTCCGACCCTCATTGAATTAAGGTAACGTCACCGTTTCCAATGATCGTCATGTCAGACGTACGTCCTCGACGTCGAGCGCATACGTTCCTATGCGTGCATAGCGTAAGCGACATCTGACTGTTATCACTACGAAGGGAATTGTCTGTATATATTATACATAAACATATATAATTATATATAGAGTCAAGTGCTCCCATCCGCTCCCCCTTGATACCTCGTAAACAATTTCTGCCACAGCCCTCTCCATATCCACCCCTTTCAATCCCCAAGCCCTAAGCCAAGGGGTTGAAGACTGCAAAGAATTCGCCTACGTCGCCCAGTGCGTTTCTTTTGGGTTAACTGTACCCTCTGCCCGCGCAACCCCTCCAATCCTCGTCCCTAGGTAATCAAGTAATTTTAATGAGATTTCTAAATCACGAATCGACTAACGATCATTACTGTACTGTTAAGGATATTATATATATTTTTTGTAGAAAACCAAAGACCACACAGATTATTAAATGCAAATGTCGCGATAACTCGTCGCGCGATCGCCAAGTCTACAGCGACCTCTGAAAACTACGGACTTATTATATTGTAAATAAAAGCGCGTGACCGAGCGACGTGTAATGTGTGTATACGTGTGTATAGGGTCGACGAGAGAATCGGCCGACGGGTTAACAATTAGGAGAGCCGCGGGACGCTTGATACTTTTGATGCAACGGGTGACGGGTGACGGGTGACGGCGCCACCTCGAGCGATACCGGCCACCACCGAGCACGCAATGTTGCTAATGTTGTATAAAAAGGAGATATTAGATTCGGTAGATCTATTTATCGTAATCTTCGCAAGCGCGGATCGTACATATGTCTTTGATTTTCACATGCGGAGGATGCGTGACAATGTTTGTCATTTTTTGGGACTCTCGCGCATATCGGTGATTGGCAATCCATCGGGTGAGCAACGTGAATTTTAAGAATTTGTTTTGACGCTAATACAAAAATCGGTATTATTGTTTTTCTGAGCTTGCTCTTGCACGTGTCCAGTGACAGATCGACGATCCCGAGAATGCCAATTGTGACGGTAGATTGTGCGGGTCTCATGCGAGTTCGAGCCTCAGAATAAGACGAGAAAAAAAGAAATCGTGCTAAAACGATAGAAACGGAACTTGCGTATCTTCCTTGCGTAATAGAGAAAATATCAGTTTTTGCCGTACAATCAGTAATCGGTATAACCGTAACCTGTACTACTGGACTGAATAGCCTATCGCTGTGTAGACTCTCCCTTGAAACCTAAATCTACCCCAGTCAGTGCATAACTCTGTGCTCGGCATTGGCGCTGCTTTAATTTTTCCACGGGTCTGGCAACCTGTCCGTTATCATTTTTTGCCTTATACCGATGTGTGAAGTCAGAAGTCCGCCCTCTCCGAAATATGCAATTTACCGATAATGAAATAACTTTTTATTTTCTGGATCTTAACGAGAGCATAAACGTTACGAATTCGAAACGGCGCGTCGCGACGCATAAATTTCTCTTCGAACGCCGAACGGTCTATTAACTCGAACTGTGAGATACTTATGTACATGGGCAAATAGGTTAAACATATGTGAACGTTATCTTTGGTATCGTAACTTTCCTGTGATCTTCACTTTTTTTTTTTTTTTTTTTTTTTTTTTTTTAGAAATTTGTTTTTCCTATCAAATTCAATCGCTAGTGGACGTTCGGATGTGAACGAATGGTCTGTTACGTAAAACTTAGGTTGCCCAATAAATGTATATGAATGGTTTTTTTTTTTTTTTTTTTTTTTTTTCTTGAGAAATTTAAACGTCACGACGTTATCTGAAGCGAGCCTAGGTCGACCGCAAACGAATCTCCTTTCTTCTCGATTATTTATGTTTTTTAGTGCTACCTACGCCTATTGATATACGATTATTTTAATTCCATTTATCGTAAGGTAAAATTAGTGAAATGTACTTAATTGCAAAATGCTATTTAAAATTTAATATATTGGTAGTAGTGATGTGGTGGTAGAATTGGACAGAGGAAGAATTACGATAGCGGTACGAATGATATGTGATCGACCGTTTCGAGGCTACGAATTCGTCTGGCTTAGACGGACCTTTTCATCCTTTTTTTTTTTTTAAGCAATCAATCAGAATAAGACGCAAGTAGGGGGGAATTTTTCCGACGACTCTCATACTCGACACAGACACACACGACTCTTCTCGTACTTAGTACGGTGGGCGCAGCGTATACTTATTTTCGGAAACACCCGTTAGACACGCGTCTAACCTTCGGCACGATTAATTTCACAATTTTAAATGATTATTGTGTATTTGACATTGTTACTTTTTATTACTATTATTACATTATTATATTATATATTATTGTATTGCTATTATTGCTATTATTAATTATTATTATTATTAATTATTACCCTATTATTATTATTATTAATATTTAATGCCTTTATTATTTATTAATTTTAACGATAACCTATGTGTAATAAGTTTTGCCAAAGAACACTAAAAGAAAAACACAAAGCAATATCGCAGTAATATTTTTAGCCTCTTATACGATGAATGCGTTTGATAAAACGTTAAAATACGGATGATGTAGAAACAGTAAGGATAAAAAGAAGTAAAAAGTAAATGAAATGGAGCGCGCGTGGCATTTCTCGCGGCTCGATAGCGTACAGTGGGCAGATTGTGAATTTGGGCGGATTGCGCGGCTTTTCGGCCGGAGCGCTGCATTATTACGCGTTCTCCTCGATTCTTTTGTAACTACGAAAGATTATCCTTTATTTTATTATTCGTCCCGTGTAATATTCTTGTTCCGTGCGCCGCTCTTGCCGAGTCTCGCTGTTGATACTTGCAAACAAAACTCTGTAAATCCTTTTTAAATAAATCTGAGGTTTATATGAATCGTTAGTTAATTTTTTGTTATATCCGATTTCCTAAAGAGGCTATGAGAATTGGTGTTGGATACTGTGACGTATTTATTAGAGAGAGCAGCTCAGGATGCATTAGATGCATTATACTGAGGAGCAGCAATATTTTATTAGTTTCAAAGAATTTCTCTTAGGAACTTGTTCTAGTTTCAGAAAATTCCGCTAGGAGCGTGCAGAACGCATTTAGCATATATGTGTTTTCGCGGGAAGCATTGTTCGCAATTTCTAGAAAATTCCGTCAGATTACGCTGTTTGGAGCATGCCCTAGTTCCGGAATTATTCGCAAGGGGACGTGGAACGTCTAGCACTTCTATGTTTTCGCGAGTTATGGAAAATTATGCTAGGAGACATATAATCAATTTGAGAATGAAAAGTGGGTTTTCGTAAAGAACATATTTGTTTAATATGATTTAACATATAGAAAATTATCTGAACTCTAATCTTGCTTCCATCCTCGCGAGTAATGATGCTCTCTCTTGCGCCATCTACCGTCGCTTCATATGAACTTTAAAAAATCTCCTAAATACTTACGGTTGATAATACCATAATAAGAATATTTGTTGTAATCGACTTTTTCAATTTCTGTAACCTCCTTATTGCATACAATATGAAAACGCAAAGTTTCATTATACTACTGCTTTTAGGAAATACTATATAAGCAATCTTACAATTACTGTAACTTATCCATGAACATCCATGGTACCAACAGCTAAACAGAGTTTCAGAATCACGGAGAAATTTTCATGAAGTATATCCCTGTTTTCCTCGGTATATATTTATCTATGGATGGTTCTTATCACTGATAAAAAAAAATTTATTGAAAATGCCATAGAATGATCAAACCGTAGTAATTTCGATGCATACCAGTAGATGGCAGCACTATGTGCCGAAACCTAATTGTCACTGGTAGGTAAATCGCTTTCCCACTAATACCGACAGACTTCTAACTTACCTCACGAGCAGATAAATTGCTACGACTGTCCAACGATAGCCCAAATATAAATTGAATATAACCGTCGCAAAATGAGCGTCAAAAGATGCAAATTTTTATGTTTTTATATCTAAAAAATTGCTCCTTAAATGCTTTTGTTTTCCTAATTCCTCCGCTGCTATTATATAATGATTAAAAAATAGTTATTAAAACAGAATCTGAAATGATGTAGACTAGACATGCCCGTGTAAGCTGTGCCGCGCGGTTCTGATATATAGAATATAATACATACATAAGGGTAAAATTAACGGCAAAAATTCGAACTAATGCAATTTCATTTAATTTGATTTCTCATCCGTTTCCGGGATATAGCATCCTAGACCTGCAATTTTAAGTATTTTTGAAAATCAATAGAATCGGAGCTTTCAAGAATCTGCTATTTCTATTATTTCAGTAGAAGATAGTATCGATGAACGAAAATAAAATCAGGAAATTGATGCTGAATGAATGAGGGCTGGAATAAGGAAGACGGTGGAAATAATGGCAGAGAAAATAAAGTATAGCTGAAAAGGGTGTTGGAGCATAAGGGAGGTGGAAAAAGATGAGGTTAAGACAGAGGAGAGTAAGAATGAGACAGAACTATTTCATGCTCTGGGATATTCACAGAGCACAAGAGAATATCAGCGGATAAGTCCTTTAAGATACTTTACTCGACAAATAAAATAATTAAACAGTATATAAAGTACAGATGTACATGTATGGCCTATGAAAGATTAGCAATAACAATACCATCAGAGAGATATTAAATATATCGCTACAATATAATATAATTTTAACAACTTAGTTTTTAAGGATATACTAGGATGAGAGTGAGGGAGACATAGGAAGGAATAACAGACTCGGAAATAGAGTAGAAACGTTTGGTGGCAGAAAGGGAAGATGTTGTTGAAGGAGAAAAGAGGAAGACTGTTAAAAAGAAACAGTGAAGAAGAGAGATGATAGGGACTGAGGGAACAAGGAGAAAGGAAGATGCGTGAAACGTGTGCACGAGGACCAGATTATTCTGGAAGAGCGAGAAAAGAGAACACTGGAAAAAGTAGGAAAAGTAGGAAGGATAAGGACGCGAAATGGGCCCCTCCTCGCCCATTTCCGTGAGGTCCAGCCTCTCCACAAGGGAGCTACGACCCCTCCGAGGCCCAACAGGGGACCGTGTTTTTTTTTATTGAGGAAAACCCCCGAGTCCTGCGGCTATCGCGCACAGGAGTAGGAGGGAAAACCCGCAGGAAAGGAGGGAAGTCGGGTCGAGCGACGAGGAAAACGCAAAAGGGGTAAGGTAAGTTAAACGCGAAAGCTCTACCCGTAGTCAAGGATTCACCGAAACGAAAGACCACGGGCGTAGCACCCGACGGCGCCCTTGCGAGCACCGCCAGGACGTCCCGAAGGACGATATTCAACGCTACAATCTCCATCCATTCCGCAAGCTCAGTGGGTTAGACGTAAGGGACCGCGTCCGCCGGTGGCGGCGGACCCCGTCAGTCATTGATCCCCGCGCAAAATGTCTCCTCTAGAGGGTGACTTTAGACTAGCAGGTGCTCAATAGCACCCGCACCTACCCCAAATGAAGCTGACCCAAGAGCACAAGCTCAGATAGGACTTTACCCAGAACCAACGGACTACCCCGCACGACCTCCCCACCGGCACATAGGATCGTCTCTACCCACACGAGTGCTCGAGGGTCAACGACATGTTGGAGCGTTTTTAGCAAAGCGAACAAATTATACTAAATACGCGAGAGCTAGACACCTGGTTAGATTCACTATACGAAAGGCCATGGTCGTAGATACCCTAAGGGGGCTCAAGGCCCCCGTCGGGAGGCCCATAAGGTCCTGTTGCGGCCACAACTTGGGCCCGAAAATTTTTGGCAACTCACAATACTTCTAAATATTTTTGACCAGGAATTCTGATTTTCAAGTGTTAATATCTAACTTTATTGATTTAAGTAATTATTTTAATATTCCAAACACCTAATTTATTAATATTTCAATTTAAGCGTAATGTATTTACGAAATCTTACAATTTCAATTTACTTTTCATCTACTCCGTATATTTTGCGAGATTTTGATTTAGCCTCAATTGAATATTTTGAATAAATTTTGAGAATAAGTCAAGATCCAATAATATCTAGTAGCATTTGGAAAGCTTTATTCAGTCTTTCGAATTTTCAATATTTCCGTACAACTGATTTTTCTTCTTCTTCTCGCAGGTTATCCAGCTACTCGTGAATCGCAAAGGTTTGAATATTTGTTCTACTAGTAGCCGCAGAGATAAACAGAGAGATTTCCAATGTGCCGCTTTTCATGGTCCAACCTTTATTTCGAGGTAGACGCGCCACCTGACGAGTTTCTGAATTTCCAATATATCCATGATCGCACGTTGGCTTGATTAAAAAAAGTAATAACACCTGGCCGCGATCCCGGTACCACATGGCGCGAAGGCCCACGTGCCCACAACCAAACGTCATTGCTTAATCCTTTCTAAAATCCGTGCGTGGAAACTTAATAACTGCCTGCATAAATGCCTAATATAACGGAGTCTTTATTTCTGGCTATTGAATTGTTACTATTTCTTCATCACTCAGTTAAAGACTCCACCACATCAGGTATTTATGCAGGCAGTCACTAAGTTTACACGCACGGATTTTAAAAAGGATTAACCAATTACGTTGAGCTATTGTTGTTAAACCTTACACGCGATTGATTACCTCCGTGTAAAACACGTGCGTGTTAGCTTACTCAGTGTCAGCTGGTATAAGTATATTCGAACAGAGTTTGTCAGCATAAAAAAATTCAGACGTGCAAAATAAGAAATCAATCGTCACTACAGCGGAGCAATTCTGAAAACATAAGGAGCATCTAAGGGGCAATTTCGTTAGGCATTAAAAGACAGTTTCAATATAGTGTAAGTATAAAGTTAACGTAGCTCAATAGCGGATATTATAATAATGAAAATATTTATTTTTTACATTAACGGTACGAAGTAATGTATAATGTGCAATTACGTAATAGTCCTGTCAACGTCAATAGTTTACACGCGGTATACGTGCATCGTATTACAATAACCTACAATGTACATATGCTTAATTAAACTGTATACCAAAACGTATTCTCGCTAAGGAGCACTAGAGTAGAAGGCACAGCTATTTTTAATAATTTTTCAAAGTAGATGGCACCCTTTTATTTATACACGTAACTCTCAGCGCCACCGCGTCCAAAACCTGCAATCGTAAGTTAGCATTAATTGTCACGCATGGGCACGAAAATTATTATTCGTCAGGAATCAGGAAAAATAATTTTATTTTTTAATTGGCCAAGGACAGTCGACCGAAGCCGTGATAAAAAAAAATGGAAAAATAAATTAAATTAGTTTGACGAATTACCTCCAGGGCCAAAGAGGGCAGCGTAGCAAGGAACGTGGCAATAAGGTTTGCCCTCGTGTTCAGCATGGTTGCCAGGAGTTAGGGTTTTGTTGCACTTTTCGCAGCGCAAACAGGCCCCGTGCCAATCTTTACCCAGCGACGTCTTGCGCTCCGCTGAAAGAAAAGTTTAAGCCAAATTTTAAAAGACGTGCCATAATAAGATCCTCTGGGATTCTTTTAATGTTACGACTGGTTATCGTCACAAAAATTACGAATATTTTCTAATCTTTACACAATTAGAAAATCACGTCAATAACAAGACTTCACGTATAATTAATATTCGTCAATTTTATTTCAATCAATAAAAGCTTAATTTACACGGTTTTGAAATACGTGTATTGCGAATTCCCCAGAATGCTAATTCCTAGGGTCACTTTGGCTAAAAATACCTTTTACGTTTAAAAAGTAGAAATAAAGTATACCCGGTGGATAGACGAAAATCGAGTCCACAAATTGATCACACTCTAACAATGGTCTCTATTGTTAGTAAAAATATACTTATATAATATTTTATTTAATTTAAAAAAATATGATCCTTAATCAATGATCTCCTTACAAGAAAATTGTACGCCACGATGATAATCCTAACCTGAAAGCCTTACTCTATCTATATATGGAGAGTATACACGGGTTTTCTATACTGAAGCCTCTAGCTATGTACAGGGTGATTATAAAATTTATATAAATTTTCAACAATTGAAAACGGACGTTTGCAACGTGAGATTGATGAAATGCAGAATTTCAAATTACATTAAAACAAATCCTTAATTGCAAGAAACTAAATTGGATTTGTCTTACACTTTTTGGATTTATATATGTTATACTGAAAGTAGGAAAAGATTTTAAGATCACCCGATATATCGAGAGCAATCGAACGCACCCAGCAAAACGTTACACGCGGCAACACATCCAAAGAATATAACTGCAGTTCGCCTTGCTGTGAGATTTGATCGACCCCGTTCACAAATCCTAATTCGTTTAATGGAAACCAGATTAGAATTTCTCTTAAATGCGAAGTATTCGTCGAATTCAATTTAAAGTTGTGCAGAACAAAGTAGATGTATAGATGATATGTATATATATTATATATATATATGCCTCATTAAAAATTTAATTAAAATATATAACAATTACTGTTAAAAATTATTACTGCCGCTAATGACAGCTTTGTGATAAATTTTTATGAAAAATTATAAAAACTCGTCGGTATTATTTAATACCACGTCTCATTAGAATAGCAGAGCTAATGCGCACTTCGATTTTCAATAGTTTTATCCATTAGCAATTTTATAATTACAAAATTCAATGACGATTCTCACGAGGATTCGAACGGGGTTGTGATGATTGAATAAAGGTGCAAACCTGCAACACCCGAGGGCTCCGTCTCAACCCGCCCAGATGCATTGCATACTCACTGGAAGGCAATGCAATATACGGATACGATATCTGTTGCATTATAAAATCAACCGTATTATAAATTTTTACACTTTCAATTCCCTCCGCAGTGTGAATAGTATAACCAGTCGATTTTTGAAACACAGAAGACAGCGAAGGCGTCGTGTCGTGACTGCGTCGCGGGACACATTGGCGTATTGAATAAAGGAAGTTCTCACAACGAGTGTCGCTATGGGTGTAACGAAGAGTAAAAACTGTTTAATGATTAATTTCATAAAATTAACAACATATTCATCCCCTATCAGTATACCGACTATCCGACTCCGTAAATAATATCAGTGTCCGAATAAAATTATCATCGCCCGTTAACCTAGTCATTATAGAATTAGCCGATTGAAAAAAAGGCAAAAATTCGAAATTATTAATAGATAAAAAAAACTGAAAAATTGTACAACACCGATTATGAAAAAGGAAGCGTCGCGATAATCGCGCTTATATCAGCCCGGTAGATCGTTCAAAGCGCCAACGCCCAGACAGACGTGACCAAGACGTTCCTAAAAAGTAAAAAGATTAATGGACTAAAGGAAAAAAAGAAAAAGATATAGACCTCAAAGAAATTTCTCTCTTTACAGTCATGAGGAACGGAATAGAAGTTCGAGGAGCAAATTGTCGTCCATGGAAATCCATGAGACCAGATGAGTACAGATCTCCTACCTTACCGCGTTGGTTAGGTAGCGTCCGAGTTGCTAGTTCGCCCGTTCGCTCGCTAGGGGCGCTGAGTGCGCTCGGAAAAGTCTTCCTTAGCCAAGAAACCGACAAATGAAGAGAACAAAAAGGTTTGGGCATAGAGACGAAGTAGTCAGTGCCCTGAGAGAGATTCCGCGAGAGTCTACCTAACTAAAGGGCCATTAGTTAATTAACTGCTAATTATCTGGTAGCTGAGAGCAAACGCATAATCGCGAGCATTGCTATGCATTGCAGGGCAGACAGACAGACAGAGTCGTGCACGGATCGTTGCGCTCGGTGCCAAACAATCGGCGGCTGCACACTGACTTCCCACACTACCTTTATTCTCTTCACTCTTCACTCTTCTAGAGTATTCTCTTCGCCGCCCTGTTTCTTCTCTTCTTCTTTAAACCTGTCTCTCCTTTTTTTCTTCATTTTTCACTCCCCTCGTCCACGGACTCCCCCGCTCAAACTCACTCTCTCTCTCTTTGCTTCCATCCTCGGTCCCCCTGGGGTCTCTCCGTCTATCACAAGCCGAGAAGCAACAGAACACGACCCATCCTCCCGATGCACCCGATACTGCACCCCACCACCCTCGGTTCTTCAGCAAACCTGTTTCATCTCCGGTCTTCTTATTATTACCTACCGGGACCAGGCCGCCTTTGTTGTTGTCCTTGCGGGCGGATACTTTATTGTTGTAGCTGCTGTACATAACGTGCTTCCCTCTCTGCACGGATACGCGTCGTGATAGAATGCCTCTCTCCCTTATTCCTTATTCGCTTCACCTTTTTAGCCACTGACAGCTTCTCCAGTCATCATTCGCTCTCTCGTTCTCTCCTTCTCAGGAAACTCCCGTCCGTCCCTTCTCCACTAATTGTAGACGATAAGGCTCAACCGTCAGCGACGACAGTGACAACATCGACGTGAAGATGGAATATTTTTCTAACCTCAATTCACTAATACACGTGTAACCCGTAACCGAGTTTGAAACGGATAAAAGAAAAAAAAAACTTTTTATCTTACGCAAAAGAAAATGAATGTGTATACCTTTCTTTAACGTGATATCGAAAGACAATGAGATATTTATAGCCTCGTTTACATTCTCTCGGTATTAAATTGAACGTGGCATACGGTAAGGTCTGTAAACAGGTATTGTAACCATGGCAACGTGAAACGCTATTGTATTGGCGCTGAATTTCTTTTGAGCGTTCCTGTACAGATGCGTCAAGCGTAATGACAGCTACTACAGGACTGGGCGTCGTGCACAGTCGGCGTTCATGAGTTACCGAGCCGAATAAAGCCCTACCTCTTCAAAGTGCAGACAGCTTTTTGCTAAAAGCACACAAAAATATAGAGCAGCAGCGTTTTGCCTGCTTGCAATAATTACGTCGACATTTACTTCGCGCTGGTACGGTGCAACGTGTATTGTGCAACAGTCGCCGTCCCCTCGTCGGCATAACAAACGCACTCGAATAATTGTGGCCAAAAATGTGAAAAACAGAAAATGCAGAAAAATATTTTCCTTATACGTAAAAAAAAAATATGTACAGTCGATTCAAAGAGTTTTAATTTACCAAACGGTTAACTGGCATACAGTGGTGCATCAATGACGTCGATACGGTTGCATAATGAATTCCTGCTTTACACGTGATTCGATTGTTAATTATAAATACTGTTAATGCATCAACTAATTCATATGTATATAAGTAAACCCGGTACAGTTAAAAGTACAGGAAGCGTGTAGCTCCACAATGATTTAGTTTGCTTGGTACGAATGTACAGGTTACTATCGGCAGTAATGACGATTCTCTATCGACCAATTAGTTCTCAGATATACCTGTGTATTCTATTGGGCGTTTCAAAAGATAATATTTACACGTTAAAAAAATGTACGTGCAAATATTGAAATATCTGTCAAGAAATATTCTCGACTCTATTTTAGTTCTGTTAGTTCCGGTATCGATAGCCTTATCGAAGTAGGACGACATGGTGTCATGAAAGTATGATTTACGTGACTTATCGTTTCTAATAATTTAGCCATTTTTTTTTTAATAATTAATTATCGACTTTGACTCCCCTTAATAGCATAATCTATTATAACGATTTTATCATGCCAAAGTGTCATGGGTCAAATAGTAAATATCTTTGAGTTCTATTAAGATTTTTTAAACTTATCTCGAATTTGTATAAACATTGATAATAATTCTTTGTGTATATATTGAATTTCGAAAATTAATAACAATTAAACTGTAAACACCAGCTTCTTATCATTAAGATACTCGGTATAGTCTCGCGTCGACTGAACGGCAAGAGACTCGGCCAGGCTATATATATTAGGTGGACCGGAAAGTAGTGTCCTTTTTTTCCATTGAATTCAAATGCGCAGAAACGACATTACTTTCCGGTCCCCCTAATATATATATATATTCTATAACACGAAAGTAAGGCGCGTGGAGTGTCTAAGACACAACTCAATGCTTTTCAAATGGAGAACAAAATCGCACGACCATTCTCGGGCTAAGACATGCCCCCTCCCTCCCACTTCGAAATCCCGCAGAAAAGCATTTTCACGTAAGTAAATCTACGGATGATTAAGTGTATGACATAATATTTGCTATATGGTAGTCCTCGAGGTCGTTGCGAGTGACATCACAGTGACGCAGTCTGGTAAGAGTAACATCATCGAACATCGAATTTTGATTACCATGTGCCTACGCATTGATGATCAATCGTTTTGTCATTTCTTCAAGAATGACATATGACTCGTGATAAATAACGTCATTGCGGGTTTGCATTTTGTCCTTCGTTCGAGTGTTCACTTCGATATTCAAATAATCGAGCAATAACATAAATATTTCCAAGAACAAGGACCCATCACGATAACTCGACACATAAGGAATGCCTGTATACATATATGTATATACATATATATGAATATGACATATCAACGTAATTTATGAATTTGCCCGCCCGCCCCCTTAAAAAAAAGACAACTGACGTCAACACTAAAACTTTAAAAGGATCAAAGTTTCGCGTGGTCACCTTTAATGAAGTCAAAGTCTAGAGAGAGATAGAGAGATAATTGGTGAAAGAATGCCGGCACGTAGCAGGGTACCTTACCGAGAAAAAAAATTTACAATTGTTTCTCGTGTAATTTAGTCCAGTTATTTCATAGTTACTCATTCCCGTCATAATCATGCGCCGCCATTTTGTAAAGTTACACACGTGCACGAGTAAGCGAATGCATGACGTATCTATACAGCGAGACAGTGTCGCGTATGTACGTACGTGTTTATGTACAGCTGCATAGTTACATTTCCAGAGACTGCTACAAGCGTAACTGGAATTTCATCAAGGCGTATATCATTTCGGAGAATAATTACCCCAAGCAATTCCGCAAGAACTGCCGAACGATTTTCGAACACCTTGACCAACGAGAAACCTGAGTTCTGATAACTGCACGAGAAAACCTGTACATTTGTCGTAGGATGAACTAAAGTAGCGCTGATCTACCAAATTATATTCAATACGTTCAAAATAGTCTCGTCTTTGACGTAGTTATTCGATTATTTCGTTTGATCACATTTTTCAAATCTTATCTCTGGTATGAGTACCTGTATTATATACGTGTGTTGAGATTAATTTTGTTACTCAAAGAGGATAACCATGTCCAGGAGATAAAACTTTATAAAGACTGAATCTATCAGCACGGTTACAAAAGACAATACCAGACTACCAGCAGTTTAAGAAACATGGCGGCGACGTTAAACGTAACCGTTCTTCGATCTATTGTAACGTTGTGTACGACTAGATGAAACTGTTGCCGAGTTTCTATCGTCAAGATACACTAGAGTGGTTAGAAGCACATTATTTACCTGTATTTTCCTTTTATACTTGTCAAGGTGGTTCACTTACATCATTGATATTCACACGTCATCCAACGATAATTTCTTCACTCACCATTTACGATAAATTTCAACTAAGTAAAATTTACTTAAGCGTGTAAATGCCATTGTAATATATATTATTAAGGATACAAATATATTTGTCTTCTGAATAGAACGCGCTACGTGTTCTAATCCCTATCGCAACGCATAACCTACAAGTATACACCGTAGCAACTGTCACGTGTTTTTCCGTTATACCACTTGTATTCATAATACATAATACGTTTCTATCCTATGGTACAGTAATGTATCTGAACTCACCGAAATACACGGGTTTCTCGCACTTTGGACAATTTGGCATGATGCTAATTTCTTCCAAATAACCGACGTTGTGTGGTTGATCGAACTTGAAACGAGCGATAACGTCTCTTCCGTAGCGTGGTCAAGCGCCTACTGGCTGTACTGGCAATACTGCCACCTACTGTAGTACTGGCCATGGCCTCTCTAAGGTAAAGCAATATTCTACAGTTGATTGAGCGTGTGAATGCGTCGATGTGTGCTGAGCTCACCATACGGTATTATGTATGCATGATGATGTAATCCCTACCCAGCATAAATTCAGTCCGCCAGATGAAATATGCGTACGCTCGTATTTACACGCAAAGCGCCCTCTATATGCCATAGAGGGGCATTGAATAGTATTTCTATGCGTTTTGAATAATGCGTGTACGTTCACCTGTGTTGATTTTTTAAACAATGAAAATTAAAAATTAAATAGTTGACACGCTTTCGACCTTGATTAGTAATTTTTGTGATAACTGCTTGAGTGTACTAACGTATAACTACGTCATTTGAAAACTATTATGTACATTTTACAGGTAGATTTTTAGGTTACGTCGTGAATTTGGGTATTACGTAACTTATTAAAGTGTCATAAAATCTCAAGAATTTTATAGATACTACTGGATATGATATAACGAACTCGTATCTCTTAAAAATAATTTTTAAACTGATTACTGTCAGAAATTTAATCGAATATGCTTATCTGAATTAATATTCACCTAAGTCAAGATATAGACTGATATTTATGACAATATATGTGACCATGATGTATGTTTTTCATAAATATAACTATGATATAATCTCAATATATTTTATACACTTCAAGCATGAGTTAATTTTTATGTAAATCCACACTTCGGTCGTCCATACGAAACAACCTATGGGTCGATCCACGAGTTCAATGTGTTATTTTGATAGTTCGAAAATAATAGTCTTTAGCAAGCCACACATAGCTCTACATAAAATTGTTGTTACAATGGTGCATGATTTTGTACTGAAATATATTTTATTTTTCCATTTTAGCATAGATTTCCATAAAATTATCGAACAGTTTAGGAACTGTTAAAAAATACATCGCACTCGTGAGCGGACTATATATGCTGATATATATATACACCTTATACAGAATCGAAAACTATAAAATCTATAATTTATACTTGGTGGTCCGTAATTTGGTCTCTTAACTGAAACTGGTAAAGACTAATGAATATTTCTCTGGTCAATGACTAAAGAGACTATAATTAGATTCAACACGAGTCACTGAGACCTAATAGTCTACTCCGGAACTACATATAACTAAAAATTGTACCGAGCTTGTTCAATTCGGAAGTTGTCGCACAGGGTGTCTGATTGTGAGACACCCCAACCCAATGCGTTTTGAATGGGGAGATAAAATCGTGCGACGCACTGCGGGTCAAATAAAGAGCTTTGTGTACGTTATCAGATAATTTTTAATAGATAACGCCGTTCATAACTATCTTTATAAATATAATTCGCGGAAGTCGTTATTGAAATTCAAATCTTTATTTATCAAATCTCTTACGTATATTGGAAAACGAAGTCAATACACGACCTTATTAACAGTCAGAGATTGAAGAAGCAGTTAAAAAAAAAGGAAAAAACGAGTCACGACACAATTATGCATTTTAATATGACGAGAAAATATTTCTTTTGCATATAACCATGAAGCGACAAACAACAATGGCTTCTTTCATACATTCTCGTCGTAATAAAGTCAATCTTCAAGTTGAATTCATCCGTACTTCGCATTGCAAACATGAAGAAAGAGAAAAACAAGTAACTAGACTTTACTAAAGTCCTTATTTTATATACAGAACCAATACAAAAAGTAATTATCTAATTAGGTTAATTTGAAAACATAAGGGTTTCCGGTATAAACCACATCCTATGATTAGATGCAGAATGTTACAAAGTCTAAGGAAACTGAGCAGTTAGTATTTGGCAGTTCACGAGCATTGTGCTTGCAATTTGTATAAATCGTAGATTTTTAAATAATATAAAAATGGACGAACGTTGTCCAGTCTCTTTGAAGTTGTTAATAGTTATCGAGAACGACTACGTGGACCTGGCTATAAAGATTCTGAGAGAGAATCATCGAAAATCCGTCTTTTTGGAAGCAGCCGGTGCGCTTCGGGTAACTGCCGTTCAACTGGCCAGTTGGCGAGGTCGGTTAAATTTGCTGGAACTCCTCTACGAGAAAGGTGCGGACATCAATATTTCTGACAAACTCGGTAGAACCGCGTTGTATTACGCGATTCACCACAGCAACGTCGAGATAGTCAAGTGGCTCCTCGAGCATGGCGCCAATGTCAACAGTAAAGTCGGCATCAATTCCTGGCCGAAGGATATGCCTTACGCTACAAACATGACCATGGAACCAGACTGTCCGATTGGCCGAAACGTGGGTGTAACTTTTGTAAATAAAAAAATAAAAATAAATAAATTAAACATTGTAAGTGAAATAACGCTGATAAGTAACTTGTCAATGTAGCTGCCGTTACCTGAATGCTGGGGCAGAACGCCTTTACATCAGGCTGTGCGAGCTAATGAGCCGGAAATCGTAAGAATGTTGGTTAATGCAGGAGCGATGGTCGATGCGCAGGATGAACAGGGTGTGACGCCGCTTCTTCTGGCGGGGGCCAATCTTGATTGCAGTAACAAAGAGGAGATGATGAAGTTTGATGAGGTGGTAGAAATTTTAGCATCGGCCAATGCTTCCGTCAATGTCGTCCATCCGGATACTGGTAGGATAAAAAAAAATTTTGAACAAAGTTCCACCAATAATACCAAAGCTAGTCTTAAATATAAATTAACACTATCATTTAATCAAAGGAACAACTGTACTGCACCATGCATCTATGCTAGGCAGTAAAACAGCTATAAAGAGGCTACTGGAAGCTGGTGCATGGCCTCTTTTTCAGTGCATCGGTACAGGAAGCACTGCACTACACATTGCCGCCGGTGAGGGTCACCTGGAGACCTTACAAGTTCTCCTCGAGGCAGTGGATCCTGTCTGCGTAAACATCCGGGACGAGGTATAATTAATTGTTCCAATTAATCGGCAACGACTGATCGCAACAGGATTCGTTTTACTGAAAAAAAAAAAACAGAGTCCAGTCAGTGATCATTGTTTATTTAACGTTGCAACAATAGGTAGGTCGTACTCCGTTGCACAAGGCGGCTTACCAAGATCATCAGGAATGTGTCCGGATGCTCGTGGACTACGGGGGGAATCTCGCTGCGGAAACGAAAACTGGCGTGACCGTAATCGACGCCATGCTCGCCCACGTGCGTGCTCCTCTGCCCTTGTTGACTGAGGTCCTTGATTCCTGTGTCCGAACGTCATGCGGCTCCGCTACTGAAAAGGGTCGCAACGTAAGATGATTATAAGGAAGCAGATTTCTATCTACCTACTGTGCAGTGATATCACGAGTCACTGTGGATCATCTGCTCGCCGAGCACGTTTACTTTAAATGAAATCATCGAAATTCGTGACGAACACATTCGTGCGGCCGTATTTAGATATACGAAATTTATTCGTGGAATTAGCGAGAACGCGGTAGTGAATGTTACATGTATATTAAATAATGAGGATTGATCGAACGGGACTTTTGTATTATTCATCACTTTTTTTTTTTTCTTTTTAGATAACTGTAGACTTTCACGTACTGGCGCCTGTTGGAAATTTGCAGATGAGTGTAGTTTGTGCATTAATCGCATCCATTTCGGAAATCGAACAACTGACCATCCTGCAGCATCCGTTAGTCGAAGCATTTCTTAGTCTCAAATGGTCCAAGCTACGAGTCTTCTTTTTTCTTTTTGTTTTGGTATACATGTGCTTTGTGCTTCTACTGTCTGGCTATGGTATGATTCTCATAGAGATGAACATAAAGTACTCAGTGCCAACTGGCCTCCTGATGGTGTGTTCCTGCTTTTTGCTGGGGCACAACGCGGTTCAAGTATTAATGGCACCCAAGTAAGTCATCGGATAATTTTTTTTTTCAATACTTTAAAGTAGGTAACTTTTGACTTTGTCGTTCATCCGGAATAGTCACCGAAAAAGTATTTCTTAGTAGAGCCTTAACTAATCGTGCGACTGGTCACGTACGATTCTGTCATTCTGTTTCGGTAACCAATTTTGCAGCTCTGTGAGTCACGCCGCCTACTTAGGAAGACACTAAAATTAAAGGAGAATGTTTTTTCGGTGCTTTTAAGAAAAATTATTATAGTACATTGGAATAGTTAAAATTGCATTAAGTTGACGTCTAACGGGTATTACTTGTCTGTCGATTAGACATTACTTGAGACAATTTGAGACCTGGATATCCGCAACGTGTGCCATCATAGCTCTAATCATCTCAACAACCAGGATCGATGCGCATGAATCGAATCAAGATGCATCGAATCGAATTGAATCGGGAGAGGAAAGGAAGGATATAGCAGAGCCGTGGGTTTTGCACTCGGTCAGCCTTGCAATTTTACTCGCCTGGATGCAAATGATGCTCTTTATCGGCCGATTTCCAACCTGGGGATATTACGCGCTCATGTTCTCCACCGTGCTCAAGAACGTGTTAAAGGTCAGACAGAAGGTTTCCGTAAATGCGAACCGGTTCGTTGTTATCTATACTGCATGATATATAAGCAATGACCGACCAGTATCTTTTCCAATATTTTTTTTTAAATTGGCCACAGTGCATAAATGCATAAACAGAAATGAAATTTCGGATTTTTCGCATAATCGCGTACCCGATCGAATTATCTTTTTCGCAATTGCCGCACGTAACGAGATGTTTGCAAGAAATTCCACGAGACGCAGCTATACTCCATGCGAAGTAAAACCTAAATTATCTGCATTCCGAACGCCGTTAGAGTAAGAGGAGACATTTTAAATGTCTCATATTGCGGAACCGTATTCCCTCTCTGCCAGCCATCCCTTTAACGACGAGCATCCGGTGCTCTTTACTTCGTTTCAGGTGCTTCTCGCGTTCATCTGCCTGATTTTTGGATTCGCGTTAAGCTTCGCCGTTTTGTTTCACGAGAACGACCAGTTTGATGACCTGTGGAAGGCCGTCGTCAAGACCGTCGTAATGATGATGGGCGAGTACGAGTACGGGGATCTGTTCGCATCCGATCAAGAGAAAAAATCACTTCTGCCAATCACTGGTAGAATCGTATTCGTCCTTTTCATTATGCTGGCCAGCATCGTTCTCATGAATCTGATGATCGGTCTGGCAGTCAGCGATATTCAAGGACTCCAGAAAGAGGTGGGTCGTGTCAGCTTGTTACGCTGTTATACATTGTTAGCATTTACCTGAAGCGTCCGTCTATTTTCTCTCTCCCTGTATCTCCACCTAACCGAAACGTCCCTCCGTTCACTACCGCCGGCTATAATGTCATGCGAAAGCAAGTAAATACGTTGAATCCTCACAGGGACACATTCGCCGCCTCCTGAAACAGGCAGAATTCGTCGCGCATCTTGAGAGAATTACGTCTCATCCACTATTCCGCAATAAATGGGTACATAGGAAATTACAAGCCTTTCTGGACTCCCGGCAGTCGATTCCTACCAGGATAGAACTGCCTGCCGACGGAACGTACAATCGTAACACTCACGAAATTCACAACGATCTTGTAGAAGCCCTCTTCACTCTCGCATCGAATAATCAATCAGTTGCTGAGTCAGTCGCCAAGACGGACGGCAGTGTATCTAGGATCCTGATGAATATCGAGGATCAACTACATGAGTTACGAAAACAAATTCACCCCAACGTGGCGTCCCGACGCATCTCGCGTCTGCTCGTCAACCGAAGAGTTTCGAAGCACACGAGGAGCGTGATAGTCTGAGTCTTTATAGAATGAACGTGGCGGCGAGTGAATTAAACTTAGAGACTAATTGCTTCTTCGTTGACGTCGAGCAACAGTGAAGCATCTACTGCTCGAACGTGTCTGCTAGTGACAAGTAACGATCGTTTCTTGAACTGCGTGGTAATTTCCTGCTTTATCATTCGAGTCACGCTCGTAAGACTCACCGCGTTCCTTCACAGATGTCGCTAGCTAATATTTCATTGTCAAACGCGAACGAACGAAGACGAGGACCTCTGCTCAAGACGAATCGAACTGAAATTGTCATGACTTGTCATACAAATATTATTGTTTGTGTCTCTTAAGGAATAAATAATTATTTCAATGCTTCGTTGTCGGTTCTCGTAATGCCTTCTCTCACAATATTTCTATTCCCTCGTGAGCCATGCCAAAGTAACGCTTCAAGAGCGTGACGCACCTTTTTGGAAACATAATAGATCGCTTTTGGTACTCGCTGATTTGTACGTGAGATACAGACCGTCGCTCGGTTGACCGCAGAATAACGTGTCACGCAAACTATAGTACGGTCGATACCAACGGAGACTACACAAGTTTTTGAGTATTCTGGAACCGCTAGTAAGATTCCTTCACGCTAGAGAGCAGTGTTCACCGTGTAACGCGTACTAAATTAAAATTTAATTATGATCGCATATTTGTCAAGGAATCGAAGCTTTTTTTTTAAATAATCAAAACTGTTGGAAAACTGTCTATTGTTATTTTAATGGAGATTACAGCAACTTCCACTCGATATTCTGTTGTCATTCCTGAGACGAAATCTCAAGTGTGTATTTTGGCTCAAAGTCTATTTTGACAGGTAAATTATACGGATGGTGTATTGTGAATTCTTAAAGGTTATGCTTAATGGGCCGTCTCGTCGAAGCCTATTTTCAACAATGACGCTTCAGTGAATGACTGCAAATGCACAAAGGAACGACCACGAGGATTCTCATGGACCCGGAAAAAAATGTTCACGCGTGATTACGGGAACGCGATTTCTGTCTCGTTTGCGAATTTAGCAGAATGATGTAAAACGAGAAACGAAACTGTATGAATGGGAATAAAGGAAGCGGGCAAAGGAAAAACAGCATGGCGGGACTGTGAAGCGCTGGCTGCATAGCAAGATATTCACGCAATTAACCAATAATAAATAAAGCATCGCTGCGCCAATTTGCTCAGCGATGCGAATTTCTTTCTTTTGAAAATGACAGACTTTTCTGTCCTTTGGATAGTTCCACGAGTATTTCTCGTACCACGCGTCTCTGTCAGCCAGTTACAAGTTCGAGTGACTAGAGACAATAGCAATTACAATTAATAATACAATTATTATGAGATCATATAATTTTTATGATTTTTTATTATAATTTCTTAATTTTTGTTCAATACTCCATACTGTTGCCTTCCGTTATATTTGACGGATCGGTTATTTTATTTGTATCCGTTATCTCGTTACAGCCAATAATCATTCGATCACTGTTCCAAATGACAAGCCAGTTGGGCAACTGGCGACATTTTTAAAATAACGAAACGCATTAAATCCTATCAAGCTTCAATCTTGGCTTCAATCTCTTCTGATCGATATCTAAACGGACCCCACAAATCGAATATTAAAATACTCTAATCCCATACACTATCTAAAAAAGAGCAATTTTAGACCACTGCGTAGGAGAAGTTTAGTCGCGATGTCAATTTAAATCATATGAATATCACATAGAGACAGTATTAGTTCTATACATGACTTAAGATTCGAAGACGTCGTGACAATCGTGCACGACGGAATCAAAGTCGTATGATGTAATTCAAGGTGGACGACGAACTCTTATCGTTATATTGATAACGTAAAGAATAGATCATGGCGAGTGAATGTGGCGGCAATATTGACAGGCGATATGATTTTTTTTAGTGGTGCAATAAATAACTTCAGTTAATTCGAATAAGAAAGATAATAAAAAGTATTAAGAACAAAAAAGATTACGAGTAAGTACGTCTTGATGCATTCGAATAAGAGGCCAAGCGCCATTTTAAGTATGGCGCTTGCCATCCTTTGATTATGACGTCATAATTATCATGGATATAGGTAACACCTGGAAGAATTCTATCTTTAAGATCAATCAAGATTCACTTAATTAATTTATTTCACATCAGCGACCACTTTTTAAGCGTTAGATTTCTTTAGGAATATAAAATGGATCTATGATACATTAAATTTTTGCATTTACCCTGCATCGAGTTTATGTGTAAAATTCAATTAAATAGTATGAAACATGGTTTCAAATCAATGGGCAAGGGCACGGAACAGATTTGAGGTACGTAGACAAAAATTTAGGGTCGGAGCATATTCCAGATTTCTAGCGGATTTCTTTTTCCTAACTCTTGCCAACTGTCGAATGCGCTTGGGTAATAATTTTTACGTTCTGTTATTTCTTCGATTAGCTCATTGTTAATGTTTCCTTGGAGTTCTTCAGATATCCCAGAGTTAAAGAGTTGACCTTGTTCAAAAATAAAACCCAAGAAAACTTCCAAGAGAGATGCGCACGGCTACGTTACCTACAGTCTCCAGCAGTTCATGATGTTTTAAATCTGCCAAGCGACGTAGCCATTAAATATGTCAGTGTACCGTTTCGCGAGGGCGCTATCGCAATTCCGAAGCCTCGGCTAACAGAAACAAGCGTCTGGTTTTGTTAAGTCGACTGCGAGCAGATTAAGATACTCCGGGATCTTATTCGCTCGGCCGATCCATGCCTCGTTTATTTTCGCCGACTTCGGTACGCTGATGATGCATGTCTGAAACTCGAGGCGTAACTTTGTTTTTGTGCAAGCGACACGAGTGTTGATGGTTGTCGCTCGTGATGGAACGTTTGCCATGGCGGAGGCAATGGCGACGGGAACGAGACCGATTACGATATTCTGTAAATATCCGTAGAAGTGAATTTGCATCGAAGCGACATGAGAAACAAATGATACCGATGAGTAACGCATAGAAGGATAAAGTCTTACCTTGTGAGTTTCCGATGCGACGACGGGTGCAGTAATGAGTACGAAGAAACAAGCCCGAAAGTGACGCGTGGACTCGGCCGACCGTTTGGTTTTTTCACTGTTCTTTCGTGCACGTGTTGCTCGCATCCCATTGACAGGCACTCGCGTCGCGTTGAATCACGTCGCGACGCTTCTAAAGGCGCTACTTTTCTGTGTTGCGTACATAAAACGACCGTAGACGAACGACGACGTCCAAGAATGACGGCGTTAACGACGACGCGGAAGGAGAATGGTAGTCAAGTAACTGGAAGACGATGAGAAGGAAAAGAGTGAAAAAGATATCTTGTTAGCCAAAGAGAAGAAGGTTGCGGACGATGATGAGAATAAAGAAGAACAAGGATAGTAGAGGAGATCAGAAGAGAAGCGATAAGATGAAGGCGCAGGGTAGGGCAGGCGGAAAGGAAGACGAGGATCGTAGAGTTGCGGCAGCGTGGTACGTCGACAGGCACTTCGGCTCCGTTCGTGGAGAGTCGGGTCAGTTCGGGCGGGATCGGTTCACCGCCTGCTTGCAACTCTGCCTTCCATCGCTGGGCACGAGGCTAGAGGCAGGCCAGTGTGGTGGGGAATCCTCGGCTAGAATCTCGTGGTGGGGATACGTCGAGGTGAATACGAGGATGCGATTGGTTGACCGTGGGAGAGCTGCCCGCCCGAGTGATCCGGCTGGCAGTCAGTACCGAGCATCCAGGGAGAGCACTTCGACCCGGACGAGACGAAAGACGAGACCGGACTCACTCGGCACGATGGCCGCCCACCGCGTGTTTCATGCCGTCGTACATTTCCTACCGCAAGCCGAGCGCGCATCGCGGCGACTACGCAGCGCGGCGCGGCCGTGTGTTACCGGGTTTCACTAAGAGAAAAAAGAAAAAAAAAAGAAGAGTCTCGCGGCAACATTTCCCTCACGCGGATACACCGCGCCATTTCCCATTGCCCTCTCTCTCTTTCTCTCCACCCCTCCCCCCCTTCAGTACCATCGGACGACTTATCCGCCCCGCGCGGCTAGTTGGTACCTTCGACCCCTG